TGGTGTTTGTTGCTTTGGAAAGACTAGTAGAGGACTGTTAAGTAATCTTCTCAAAACTGAATATAGTTGTAAAATCTGCAAATGTCTTAGAGTTTGCACATTTTAAGGTAAGAGGGATATTGAGATTCAAATAAGAACTTTGATTGGGTTGAATGCTTTTGATTAGTTGATTTCTGCTGGAATAGGTATGTCTGGGCCAAGGTCTTTCTTCAGTTTACTGAATTATATGTTGAAGTCCATTGTAACATTAGCTCTTGCCTCTGATTATGGTGGCCCTCACATTTTCAGAATATGTAGTTCACATCGTAAGGTACAATGACTGTTCACATGGCCTAAAAGCAACACTTTGTATATTCATTCTTCTCTCTTTCAAAATACCGTGCTGCATCCTGTCACAGACAGCAGAGACATTGCTATTTCTAGGTGGGATTTAGCTGCAAGCATCAGGGAAGAGAAAGCTGCCCGAAGTTGGCAGTTGTGAAGCTCATGAGGTGGTCAAGCTGGTGATTATAAGGAGATGGTGCTTTCGGAAAAAACCAGAAACGTTGGATGGAAGCCCCTGAAAAATCAAACCAGGAAGGGGACATCACTGCTTATTTTTAGAAACTAAGCACTGATGTTAGAAGTTGCCCTGGGTAAAAAGGGCGGGTTGTGTTTGGGAGAAGGAGTGAATCCACTCACTGTTCTTTTTAAGGTTTAAGTATCAGGTATTTTTACGAAGGAAAACTACAGTAGAACCACAAGAGTAGCCTGTAGTTGGGCTGTACCTATCTCCACTCTCAACTTTTATTTTTGTATTTTGTATTAGGGGCAAGTGATAGGTGAGCAAGGGGAAGCTGGGCTCTAGAGGGACCCCTCTCACCACTTTACAGAGCATTCGCAAACCACAGGGGCTTACTTAGGCTGTGTGTCTAAATAAAACAAAGTACAGCATGGGCAACAGTAATCCCAGGCCTAAGAAATATGCTGGGAGATGACAGCACCTGAACAAGAGGCTCAGGTTTCAGAAGGGGTACAATATTGAATTGTTTCTTTTAATTAATTTCTGTTTTTTTCTTTTTCCATTTTGTTGTTTTTTTATCATGTTTTTCTTTGGGTTTTTCTCTGTTTTACAGTTCTTTTGGGCTCTTCTTTTGAGGCTGTGTTTGATGCGTTGGCTTCCCATCCGCTGCTCGTAACCATCTCTGCTATGAGTTGTGAGTGAGCCATCATCATGCTTCTGGGTTTTCATTTTGTTTTGTGCTTTTGTTGTATATGGGATTCCAAATTACACCTGTTTTTCTTTTTTTTCCCCCCCATGATATGTTTATTTTTCAGCAGGATCGTGACAGCTACCTAAATGTGATGCAGAGGCCAAGAACACTTGGGATTCTGCCTGAAGGGCTGGGAGATATTTGGGAGGGTGCCGGAGACTGTGGTTTCTTTACCACTTTTGTGGTTGCGGTGTCAAGGAGAGGGGAGGTCTCCCACATTATGCTTTTGACTCCAGCTTCCGGTATTTATTAATTTCTGACTCCCTATTGGGATAAAATATGCTGCTGTCATGAATGATTCTGGGAAGTACTGCTGTTAACAACTCAAAATGCATGCACAAAGTGCAGAAATTTGTCTGCGATGTGACAACAGCGCTACAGAAGAGGTGGAGACATGTGTCCCCTCATATCCCTCCTATAAGCCTAACTGGTGGAAGCAGGAAATGCCTAGAAGTGAGCCACTTAAATACAGATCATCATGAGTGTTTGAACTGGAGAGTGGGGAGAAGCTGATGGGTGCAAAAGAGCACACAGCTTGGAACAATGCATCCACCATGTACAGTATTTTAACTAATTAACTAATTCTGCCCTGTCTGGAGATAATGCATATGGCCAATATATTGAAAGGAACACAGAGTATAATTTTTTGCTCTGTGGTGCTGATCCAACACTTTCTCCAAAGCTAAAACTCATTTTAAACCTAGCTTCTAACACAAGGAAATATACTTCATATCTCTGTAGTCTCCCTGACAGCTCTGTGTAATATAGTCCTTAGCTTGTGCACTAGATGCACTCCAAATGCAGGAAGAAACATTCTTTACCCTGACTAGCATTTTTGATAGTAATGCTGATGTGGAAAAATGAAAAATTAAATCATATATGTTTTTAAAATTGTATTTCAGCTTTCTAGCTCTTTACCTTCTTATCATTTTAGGGATTCAAATCAGTTGGATTTTATCTGATTCCACAGTTTGAAGTTCATAACGGTTAGAATTTCAGTTCTTACACAAAATTTTTCCATCAGGCATGAAGATATAACATCTTTTTTTTTTAATATATATAGCCCATACTGTGTTGAATGTGGATGTGTCTGGAAAGCTGGAATATTTTATCCAAACTCTCCTCCACTATTGGAGCTATGCAGTGGTGGATTGAAATTTATTAAGAAGAAGAAATGTGTAAAGAAAATATCTGGAAAATGAGTGTTGATGAATTCAGAAGAAAAGTTGGTAACGGATGGATATGCAGTGTGAGCTGCAGCAAGTGCTGAGGCAGGGCTGTTTGTCTGGATGAAAAGTATATCATCTCCTGCTCTCCACAGTCATGCAAGCATTTGACTGCAGTGATTAGTGACACAATCAAAAGGCATGAGTAATTGCCTTGTGACTGGCAGGGCAGCCACATATGGTTAAAAGGAGGAGAAGTCTTTCTGAGGAAAAGATGCTGTTAATGCAGCTAGCATCTGCCTGTTTTGTTTAAAGCTCTAAACATGCTGTCAAAATAATTGGAAAGCTAGAATATCAAGTCCTGTGCTATGTCAGGATTTCAGGGTAAAGTGTTTCAGCCTTGCTCAGCTGCACTGCTCTCCCTTCACTGGGGTAGCACATCACAGAAAATTGGAGAGAGCCATTTGGATTCAGCTGCAGAGCTGGGGTGATGAACTCTTTCACGACAGCCATGGGTCAGAGGCACACTAAAAGATGGCTAGGCATTTCTTTCTCTTCGGAAGGAGGAACAGAACACATGTGCAAACTGCCTAGAAGTTGTTTTCAGAATGGATCTAATTTAGAGTCTAGAAATACTGTCTGCCAGTAATTGGTATTGAGCTAAAGATTTTCAGAGAGGTTGTTACCCGTACTGAAACCAGCACTTGCAGCACTGGATTCAGTACATACAAATTCACGTTTGACAGCTGAAGCCACTGAGGTGGGTAAAGAACCCGAAAGACATGCTCCCATGAACTGCAAGCGCTGAGCAGTATTTGTTCTGAAAGCATTAGGGATTGCACACCACTGAAATTATTCATAATATGCTGTTATTTTCCGTCTCATGAAAAGTTTCCAAACACACTAGTTTCCACTGGAATGGAAAAGCGGCTTATTCTCTTGCCTTTGAAAATGTAGAGGAGGTCTACACTGATGGTTGATTGCAACAGATACATTCCCGTGGCTAGGCATTTCTGCTTTTCAGAAACTCATCCTGCGGGGAAATGCTGAAGAATATTTTTGCAGTCATTTGCCAGTGGGAATCCTCAGTGCATGCTCTGGGAAGAAACAGATACGTGATCTTGAGAATACCTTGGCTATTATGTGCTGCGAAATAAGTAGCTCATAGCTCAAGCTGTTGGACTGCAAGATGCTGCATTAAGTGCTTGGCATATGCATATGGGTTCTCTTTGGGGATAGTTTGAGTAACATAATGGAGTTACAACATGGACTTGTGACTTTTTTGCTTGGAGTCACTATAATTGAAGAGCTGCATTATATACCATTTAGGTGTGTGTGTTAGTGACAAAGTGTTGATGAACTCGTTTATAAAATGTTCAAAGCTCTATGCTTTGAGTGTTTTGAAACTCACAGCAACTTCCCTGCACCCAAAAGGAAGCGACTGATTTGTATGTACTTGAACTGACAGAAGAATGCCTTAGAATGAAGCTGCAGAGTTTTAGGCTTAGCTCTGAAAGCATAGGCACAGCTGAAAGAATAGAAATGAATCAGCTGACCTTAGTGACAAGTCACTTAAGCAGAGTTATTATTAATGCGCTTAAATTTCTGTAAGTGAGTGTAGGATCTTAATAATCAGTGTATTTAGTTCTGCCCAAACTTAGCCTTATGATGAAAGATGCCTGGGCCTGACTCTAGTTTTGCCGCGTGAATTTGGAAAGCGCTTCTATTAACTCTGGCCCTTTTAGCTAATCTGAAAGGATTGGCTGGATTTCATTATTTAAATCCTTGCTCAGAGAAATGACATCTTCAGTAAGTGAACTTACATAGTCTAACGCCCTTGTGGAGGCAGCAGAGTTGGAAGCGTTGCTCAACAACCCCTATAGCAGAAGAAGCCTCCGGCTGTCGAGGGATAGTCACAGGACTACCTTCTTCCCAAGGCAGCTGTATCAAGCCTTCACTTCCTGGAATCACAAATATCAAGGGAATTGGAAGAAGAGAGTCTGAAGATATGTGGTTTAGGATAATATATGGTCTAGGATATGCTAGGAAGAATCTAGAAAAAGCAAGGATGCAAAAAGTCAGAAGTTGCTAATTTGTTTTAAGTTTTACAGAGGACGTTCACAAGCAGTATCAGCAAATACATATGTTCATCTGCCCCACGTGAGAGTAGGGAATCCCCGTTCTTGTCCTGAGCAGGCTATTCTCAGGCTTTGCTTAGCTCATGTTATTCATGACTCAGTTTTGCACCAATGCTTCTTTATTAACTTTCTCCTTGACCTGGAATTTAAAAAGGAAGGAGTGTTCCTGGAAAATGTTCTCATCTCTTTGCCTAAACTATTACTATTCTAACTGTAATCATCTTGCCTGTTGTGTAAAATGAGCTTTTTATGGAACTGCAGGATTAGCAAATGCAGTTTATTATGTGGCTGCTAGAACAGGTGAAAGTATCAAGAAGAGTTTTGTATCCCTCGCATACGTATGCGATAACGTAGACATAGACAAGAAGTCCTCAGGGTTATCTGCACATGAGATTTTGTAGTATCCTGCTCTGTGTCTGAGATTATCTGTTGTCTTCCTTCAGCCTCGCAATGTTGCTGGTTTTCGGGGAACAGTCCGCTACGCTTCGGTGAATGCACACAAAAACCGAGTGAGTATTTCTGGGTTATAAGGGGTTAACAGCAAGGTTATTTCTCCCCAGAAAGCTGTGCTCCGGAGCAGAGTTGTAAGCCCGCGAGTTCTGGGTTACTGCCTACAGAAATTAACATAGCAACTGAATCGTTTTAGAAGGTCAAGGCTATTGACTTGTGGGATCATAATCATGATTCAGTTACTGGGTCCTTTCTAGTGGGCAGTCTTAGTAACTGTAATTATTGCATCATCAGATACTGTTTGGGGAGGAGGAAAAAATCCCATTAAAGCAGTAATCGGTGTGAAGCAGCAGGCTGCTTGCTGCTACTTTCCGTAGAACTTAGCTGTGAATTAGCGAGTGCCAGGTTCCAAAATCCATTCTCCACCTGGAATTTTTTAATATTAACAGCATTCCCCCAGCTGAAGAGCCACCTACCTAAATTAAGATTTCTTTTCCCCCCGAAAAGAGCCATTATCTCCATATAGAGTCCATCCTGTTTCGTTCTAAATGCTTACAGAAGTCTTTTCTTCCATTTTCCTCAAAACACTCGTTTGTCCTATTTAAGTAATGCTTCCCATATAAGCAATAACACACAAGTCCTCTGATTCTGCTGCTAAGTTCTTGCCTGATGAAGAATTATCAGCCCTCCCACATTACCTCCAGGTTTCCAGTATCCGAAGTGCTGTCACTTTTTAAGACAAGTTATTTGTAATTGTAAATTGTTACTGTTTATGTTAATATTCAGCACTGATATTGTAGTTTTAATCATTGCAGTGTTTTATATGTAGCAAAAGCATTCCTGGGGTTTTTGCTTGCAGTCTTCTCTGAGCGTTTGAGAAGGTGGCTCAGGTATTCGTAGACCCATAACGTGTCTAATGAATGGAGTTCTGTTGCCTAAAGAGGGAAAGATTGCTCATCTCACCTCCTGTCCCTGGCATCAGCACCACAGTCCCATCCTTTTTCCTACACTGGTCCTGGCACTTGTTGGACCCTTCCATGAGCTAATTTAATTCAGTCATCTGATAAAATACTATTGACAATTTTAGCCTTAACCCCCAGGTTCCGCTTTCCCATTCGTTAGAGCAGGAGAAGAATGGCATGTGGAGATATTACAGATTTGTAAACTGTTGTACTGCTTGATGATGAGTGTTTTACAAAAGCCCATGTAAATTAATGCTGTCTTGAGAAAAGAGTTTGAATGATATTTAGCTTAAAAAATAATAATAGCTAAAAGACTTGCTACACATAGGGTTTTTGGTATGTTTTGGGTTTTCTTGGGTCTTTTTTTTGTTTTAGGGGGGATGTTTTGTCCTGTTTCGGTTTTTTAATCCATGTTGTTCCACATCCCATTAATAAATATCCGACTCCTGTACACTGAGTGAGGGAGAGTCCTATGGAGAACTTGTGTTTTATTGTTTAGATTAAAAATTCTTTCCTAGTATATATGCAATAAGGAAAACAAATGAAGTTATTCAAGTGAATGTATGGCTATCGCCTAATTTAGTAGATGCTTGATTTTGCATCCTTGGTCTTTGATCTAGGTTCTCTAATGATATGATGGGATGTGTGACTTCTCTTCCTGCTTTTTAAAATGAGGTAGTTCATCTGGAGAGCACATCTGGTCCACTGAGCAGTGTGGAACTTTGCTGCTCAGTCTTTGTCTCTCTTTTCTCCAGGAGATGGGTAGACATGATGATCTGTGGTCCCTCTTTTACATGTTGGTGGAATTTGCAGTTGGTCAGCTTCCATGGCGAAAGATCAAAGATAAGGTAGGAAACCTAATGTCCCTACTTAAGGCAGGGTGCTATATTATTATTAGGGCTCTTATTGTTCCTCTTTCTGCAGCTTAGAGCAGTTTTTTCCTGAAGTAAAGCCAAAGACTGCTTTTCCTCAGGACTTGCTGCAAGATCCTAACCTGCTTTTATGCGCTCTGATGCGCAGTGTGGAGCTTGCCTTATTTGGAATAGCTAGGTGTTTTCTTATGCATGTTGTTAATCATATTTGGTCAAGTGACTTTGACTTTGTTCGTACAACTCAAACAGCAAAAGTGGGAAGTCTAGACCTGAGCTGTCATTTCACAAAGCAGAGTCTTTAAAAGGGAGGGAGGATAGAACTCCCTCACCCCATACCAAAACAAGCCAAACAGAAAGTGCAATTAGGAAGTTAAATGGAATAAAGTGAACTGTTAATGTTATTTTGAAAGAATGTTGTGCTACAGAACAACAGTCCCTGGAAGCAAACAGGGCAGATATGCGGAAGGCTCTGCTAAAGGGACAGCTTCTGAAGTGAGTTTCTGATTCAGAATTCACCTGCAGTAATCAACCTCAGTTTGCTAGGGACACCAAAACAGGAGAAAGTGTAACCACAATGCTGGATCTGAAGAGGGGCTGTGCTCCAGGAATGATAAGGTTGGATGGCAGCTGGATGGTACTCTCGGAATGATAAGACTGAGGAAGTATGAATAAGAAGAGATAAAAGATTCTTGACTCCAAGGGTATTCTCTTTTCCAGGAGCAAGTTGGCATGATAAAAGAGAAATATGAACACCGGATGCTGCTAAAACACATGCCTTCAGAGTTTCACCTTTTTCTGGATCATATTGCAAGCCTAGACTACTTCACCAAGCCAGACTATCAGGTAGGAGCTTCTCTTTGTTACCAAGGTAATGCATGGCACTCTGGACTGGCATTTGGATTTTCTGATTTCTTCCATGCATGCTGAGGAAGCAGGAGAAAAAAGGTTGGACTGTACAGTTCTTCAGCATCTCAGTGTTTCTTCTTCCTCTCCCTGCCCCTGCCCAAATTAATCCTCTTCTCCAAACCAGAAAGCTCTTCCCAACAATGCAGAATACTTTTTAGCTTTCATTAAAAAACCAAATGTGACAGAGTTTTAGCCAAGGTCTGCAAAGAGCCTGCGCCAACAGCTCAACAGCGCACACTAGCACTTTTGGTTTCTTGCAGACTAATGTGGGCCTCAGGTATATTATCTCTTTCATTAATATTCACCTTAATTTTTTTTTTTTAATTCACTCCCATTTGCTCTTTACTATCAGCATATATATGATCAGTTACAGTACCTCAACTAACACAATTTAACTGTGGTAACTTGATTCTGTGTCCCTCTTTTATCACAGTGGTTTTCACTGTACATTAAAGCCAAAGAGATGAAAACAACATCTGTGCAGTCTGATTTTAGTGCCTGCTCCTGTTGATAATGCATCAAATGAGTGGGAGGATGGTAGGAGGGTGTACCAACAAACCTAGCCCAAAGCTTTCCAGCAGCACTTTTGTGTATTAGCCACTTATGAGTTGCTGCATAGCAACCACAACCCTTAAATAAATGAATAAAAATTAGCCAAATACTTTCCAGATAGTAGCATATATTATAACATGTGCCACTAAGGTGGAGGGGTGGAGAAAGTGACTGAGGAGAGGCTGCAGGAGCTGGGTTTGTTTAGCCTAGAGAAGGCAAAAGGGGATCTAATAGCTATCTTCCACTGCATCAAGGAAGGCTGTGGGGAGAATAGAGCCAGACACTTCTCAGAGTTGTGCAGCAAAAGGCGGTGAGCACAAGTGCAACAAGGAAAATTGTGACTAGATGTAGGGGAAAAAAAAAATCACAATGAGGGTTTGTTAAGTAAAAACCTAGAGAAGCTGTGAGATCTTCGGCCTCATCTCAGGCACTGCAAACATGAGGGAACAATGAATCTGGTAAAAAATTTCCAGGCGCATGAAGGGCAAGAAGTTGACTGGGAGTAGTCAGCATGGATTCACAAAGGAGAAATCAAGCTTAACCAACCTGATAGCCTTCTATGATGAGATGACTAATTTGGTAGATGAGGGAGAGCAGTGTCTACCTTGACTTGAGCAAGGCTTTTTTGACTCTGTCTCCCATAACATCCTCATAGACAAGCTGCTGAAGTGTAGGCCAGATGAGCAGACAGTGAGGTAGATTGAAAACTAGCTAAACAGCCAACCTCAGAGGGTTGTGATCAGTGGCTCAAAGTCTAGTTGGAGGCCAGTAACAAACGATGTACCCCAGGGGTCAATACTGGGTCCAATACTGCTTAACATCTTCATTAATGATCTGGGTGATGGGGCAGAGTGTACCCACAGAAAGTTGGCTGATGATACAAAACTGGGAAGAATGGCTGATACACCGGGGGCTTGGGCTGCCATTCAGAGGGACCTTGACAGGCTGGAGGAGGTTCAACAAAGGGAAGCGCAAAGTCTTGCAGCTAGAGGAAATAACCCCGTGCACAAGTACATGCTGGGGGCCAACCAGCTGGAAAGGACCTGGGGATCCTGATCGACAGCAAGCTGGACGGGAGCCAGCAATGCGCTCTTTCAGCAGAGTCCAACGGCATCCTGGGCTGAATTACCAGCAGGTCGAGGGAAGTGATCCTTCCCCTCTCTTCAGCACCGGTGAGGCCATGCCAGGAGTACTGTGTCCAGATCTAGGCTCCACAGTACAAGGGAGATACGGAGCTACTGGAGCAAGTCAGCCAAGGACCATTACGCATCTCCCATATGAGGAAAGGCTGAGAGCTGGGACTGTTTAGCCTAGAGAAGAGAAGACTGGGGGGGGATCTTATCAGTGTGCATAAGTATCTTATGGGAGGGTGTAAAGAAGACAGAGACAGACTCTTCTCAGTGGTGCTCAGTGACAGGAGGCCATGGGCACAAACTGAAACACAGGAAGTTACATCTGAATCTAAGGAAAAGTTTTGTTGGTGGGTTGTTGGGTTTTTTTGTTTGTTTGTTTGTTTGTTTTTACTGTGAGGGTGATGGAGCACTAGAACAGGCTGCCCAGGGAGGTTGTGGAGGCTCCATTCTCTCCTCTCTTTCCCCTAGTTGTACAGCTCTCCTCTCCACACCGTTGTCCGTGTGTGATTTTTTTTTTTCCATGTTAGCCATCATGCTCGTTTCTCTTTGTCTGGATTTAGTAATCACACTGCTGCCTTTCCATCCTTGGAAATTTCAAAAACTCCCCTGGACAAGATCCTGAGCAACCTGATCTGACTTTGAAATTAGCCCTGCTTTGAGCAGAAAGTTGGATTAGAGATCTCCAAAGGTCCCTCTGACCCTATATCCCCCTATGATTCCCTTCCAGTATTAAATAATTTTGACCTAACTATACTGAAAAGCCTTTGAGATGGAAATGGAAGGAGATATTTCCAGACAAATTTGGTGTAGTAACAAATCATGAACAGCTCTTTGACAGTTGAGGGTTTGCCTGAAGCTATGAATTGCTTCTTTGCCATCAGTTCCTTACCAGTGCAGCTTTGGGAAGAAGCATCCAAAAGGGGACTCCCCGCAAAAGTCTGACACCTGCAGCTCGGCTCTCAACACTGATTCTTCTAGCTTGACTGAAGGCATATTCCAGCCAGCAAATTCTCATAGCACATCTCAGCCCCAGGGATGTCCTGCAGATAAACTTATTTGGATTTATTACCATGAAAGAGATTAAAAAGTGCATGATATGGCATCTAAATTTGCCACCAGCACCAGATCCTCAAGGAAATTAAGGAAATTGGGGAAATCTGTCTACCCAGATAAAAAGTCACTGTTTGTTCCAAAATTGGAATGACAAGATTAAAAACAAGGCAACAGAATAAAATGTACGTAAACATAATTTTAAGTTACAGTTTATGGTTCCCTTCTTAGCTCTTTAATGTATTTCAATTTAAGATGTATGCTAATCACCAGGCTAAGACTATGGCTCTCAGTGCTGCCCCGTAGCTGGACAGGCTTAGTGCTTCATGAAGCTACTCAGCTCTGGTCAGCCTCTGCATTCTCCTCTTTGTTTGAAAGAAATTATTATGAAAGGGATGCTGCACTGGGGTAGAGCAAAGGTTTGTCTGGCCTAGTAGCAATGCTCCAGCAATGCTGCCTGTGGGAAGAATATAAAAGAATGAGCATCTGATGAAGTTTCCCCAGAAAACTCTGAAAGATCCTTATAGATCAAGGATCTCCTAAACCAAAAACATCTCTGTAATTTGTAGCCATCACTGAATTTGTCTTCCACAACCTTGTCCAATCTCTTCATGTTCATCCACCGTGTTCTCTGACAAGAGGCTCCACAGCTTAAATGCTTGCTGTGTGAAGAATCACCTTCTTGTGTTTGTTCTGAACTTGCCACCTGCCAGCTTCATTTAATTCTTCTTAGGTCTTGTCCTGAATGTAACAGTGAATGCTGGATCCCTACCCTCTCCCCCTTCTCAGCCATGCAGAATCTTACAGACTTCCGTGATGTTGCTCCTTGGTTATGTTTTTGCCCAGGCGGAAGGATCGTAGACTACTGAATTGCTTTTTGCCTAGAATGAAGCCTTTTCAGACCTTTGATGTGAGTCCTCCTCTGAACCTTTTCCAGTTTTAAAATATCTTTTTGAGGTGAGGAAACGTCAGTCTTGCAGGTTTAAGATGCATACAGCCCCTGGAGTGACATACTGCAATTATGATGTTCTGTTCCATTCCTAAAGCTTCCTAACACTGTTTCTTTTCTCCAGTGGCAGTGCAGTTTTGCTGGCTCACATCTCTATGAACAAAATAAAGTGTTTGCTTCTTTTGCAGTCGTATGCAGTTTTGGTAAATACCTTCTTCTGCCCCCATCATTCTGAAGGGGGCAGTGATGCATAAATGCTGCATGTGAGCCTCTGATAACAGATCATCCTGACTGCTTTGTCCTCCCTCACTGTCTAAAGTCTGATGGTTTGGGGTTTTTTTCTGCCCTCTCCAGATATGTCTTCTGGCTTTGCAGGGTGCTTTTGGCTTTGTAGGGGAGCCAAACGTGAATTTAAGAGCCATAATGAGTCAATCTCTGCTTCTTGTTCCCTTGTAAATAGGGACAGACAGTCGGGGACTGGCCACTACTGGGCCCCCAGTCTGGGATTGTCTCACTTTATCCACCGTTACCGTCTAAGCAGGTATGTCAGTGTGAAGGATGGGAAGGGCGAAGGGCTGAGATACAACTACAGACCTCGCCACTACCATGCAGCACAGCTCATCTATTGCATGAAGGAAAAGACAAGTGCATCTGCTGTCTTCAGACTTGTTTTATCATTAGCACAGGAAAGAACTTTTAGGGGTGGAGGGCAATGCAGGCACTTTACCTCAGTGACTCCTTGCCTTTTTTCTGTCCTTCCCAGTCCCATCTTGCTGTTTAAGAAAACCAGAAACCTCTTCCAACAGTAACAGCTGTATTCCTCCTTCTATCCCAGCAGCAGCACTATGGCTTTTTCTGTCTTTGTGTGAATTCTCTCCTCTCTTTCCCCTAGTTGTACAGCTCTCCTCTCCACACCGTTGTCCGTGTGTGATTTTTTTTTTTTTCCATGTTAGCCATCATGCTCGTTTCTCTTTGTCTGGATTTAGTAATCACACTGCTGCCTTTTCCCCTACTATCTCTGAGTATTGTTCTGGTCAACTCCAGACCCTATGCTTAGGTGACTGTGGTCCCTCATATAGCTATTCTGTCTTTATCTTATGGCCTCTCCCAACACTACAGTTCTCTCCACTTTAACTCTTAGCATGGAGCCAGGGCTGCTTCCTCTCCCTGAGAAGAAACCATGACATCTTTGAGCTTTTTCCGGGGAGGCTCTGCCCTACTTTGGCTGGGCCTGGGTGGAGAGAGGAGCCCAGGAAGAAGGGGTCTATCCTCTGAGGAGTATGAAGAGCAATGTGCCCTGCCCAGCTGTCCGTGTTTGTGATACAACCTAAGAAAACCCAACGGCACCCAGCTGAGCAGGTGGACTCTGCTGCTAAGGACAGCAACTCTGCAGTGTGTTTCAAGGAGGAAACAACTGCCCAGGTCAAGGAAGAAAGCTAGCCTCAGAGGGAGGCGTCTCCTCTTTCCCCTCCCCTTGTCCTTTTCTGCTTCCTTTTTACCATCCCTTTGACCCAGTGGCCTCAGTCCTGCAGTCTGATCCTCTTCCTTTGTCAGGAGTGAGGATTGAGCTTTTGTCTTAGAACAAACACGGCAAATATAAAGTGCAAGCTAAGACCATCAGCTCAGAAGAAGACCCTGGAGAAAGCCACCATCAAACTCACTACTGTCCCACTGGGAAAACCCAGGGTGGGGCGATGGTCTGACTGTGAAGGTGGAGGCAGCCAGGAAGGGATACTGCTGTTGTTGCTTTCTCTCTGGAGTCCCTTAGGGGAATAGCTTTGTTACTAGAGCAGCTGGGGGAATACAACATGTACTGTCCCAGTCTGCTGGCAATAAAGAACAGATTTGTTGTGGTACGGGAAGAAGGTATCACTAAATCTAGATCTCATCATCCCTTCCATAGAGCACTACAGAAGGGAGTCTATGTGGCCCTTGGCAGGAAGGGGTGCGCCTAATTTTTTTTACATGGTGCAAGGTTGACAGTCATTTTATATTATTCTCAAGCAGTAGAGAGAAATTAGAGTATCTTCCTCTATCAAGGGAGTCTTATGAGAAGATGTTACTTGCTCACCTAACACGTTTCCCTCTCTTCCCCCCACCCTGAGCTCAGCTTTCCCTGAAGTCTCCTTATCTACCTGCAGCAAACCACATCAACAGTCACTCACAAAGTTTCTGAAAGAAACAATGATGTTTTCTGTGTATGCGCATGCTTCATACTCACTTTCCTTGCTTTTGTGTCCTGTCCAGGTACCAAATAGCCAGGCATGTTACTACCAAGAAAATCTGGCAGGTCAGCCTCTGACTGCCCTTAATTCCATGGTTTTCTGGGCATGCAAACTATAAAATCCTTAATGGAGTGGTGAATACAGGCACAATTGTGGTGGACATTGTATTTTTGCTGAAGAGGGATGCTCTGCCTACATCTATATTGATTGCACAGTTATGCACATTATGGAATAAATACTTTAGAAAACATGTCCAGGCATACGAAAGATAAGAAGGTGACTGAAAAGAGTCAGCGTGAAGTTATCAGGGATAAATCATGCTTGACCAACATGATTGCCTTCTGTGAGGAGATGACTGGTTCTATGGATGCAGAGAAAGCAGTGGATGTGATTTACCTTGACTTTATACAGTCACCCATAATGTCTTTGTAGCCACGTTGGAGAGGGATGGTTTGAATAGGTGGACCACAAGATTGGTGGAAAGTTGGCAGGACTGCTGGGTCTCGGAGGGTTGTGGTGAGCAATGCGACGTCCGTTTGATGGTTAACTACTAGTTGTGTCCCTCAGAGAACAATACTGGGGTCAAGGGCACTCAGTATCTTCATAAAAGACCTGCATGATGGGACGGAGCACACTCTCAGCCGGTTGCAAATGATACCAATTTGTGGGAAGCAGCTGATGTGCTGAAGGGTAGTGCCGATGCTCAGAAAGACCTTGGCAAGCTGACAGGAACTTCATGAAGTTCATCAAAGGCAAGTGCAAAGTCCTGTGCCTGGGAAGGAATAAACCTATGCAACAGGACAAAGTTGTGGACCAGCTGGCTAGGGAGAAGCTCTGCAGAAAAGGACCTGTAGGACCTGTAGGTGACCATGAGACAGCAGCGTGTCATTGTGGCAAAGCAAGCCAACCGCATCTTGGACTGTATTAGGAAGAGCATAGCCAGCAGTGGAAGGGAAATGATTAGTGCCCTCTATTAGGCACTTCTTAGATTGCATCGAGTGCTGTGCCCAGTACAAGAAAGACTGATAAACTGCAATGAGCCCAGTGGGAGGTCAGCAAGATGGCCAGGGGCTAGAGCACGTGGCATCAGTGGAGAGGCTGAGAGAATGGGGTTTCTCTGGCCCTAGGAAGAGAAGGATCAGAGGGGATCCTATTTTTGCCCTCAGCTACCTATGGAGAAGAGTAGACTCTTCTTAGCTAGAAGCTTCTCAGCTAGAAGCTAGACTCTTCTCAGAGGCGCACAGTGAAAGGGCAAGATGCAACAGGCACAAGCTGCAACAAAGGAAATTATGATTAGATATACGGAAAAAAAATATTACTCTGAGAATGGCTGAACAGAGGAAGAGGGCCCAGAAAGGTAGTGGGATCTCCATCCCTGGAAATACTCAGAATGTAACCTTGAACAAGCTGATCTGACTTTGAAACTGGATCTGACTTCAAGCTCAGCCCTGCTTTGAGTAGGGGATAGACTAGGTGATCTCCAGGAATCCTTTGCAACTTAAAGATCTTGGAGTTCCAGCTCTTTGTCTCTCTACCTTGTCCTGGCTCTGGCCAAGCTGATTCTTCTTGGGCCCAGCAAAAGGAAACTCGGCACTGGAGGCTGACCAGTGACTGTGGAAACTGTTCTAGTCCCTAATGTCTGTAGGCAGAGGATCCCTGGACAGGGTCCAGTAACTCCTTGCATGACTTCTGGCAGCAGTGGATGGTGTTGGGACTGTTCTGTGCGGTTTCTCACCCCGCTTTCCTCCTTATAAAGCTTTGACCTTCCATCAGAAATAGAAAGGGTTCAGAGAAGGCTGAAAAGGATGAAAAAAACCCATCACTTTAGAATAATGACAACGGGGGAGACTGGGATCCTTCAGCCCGTGAGAAGAACAAGCAATGGGGAATATGATAGAGGTCTGCAAAACCCTGTATGGCCTGCAAAGTAAAATGCAAGTGTTAACAGAAGAAGTTGTAGAAGAAACTAACAAAAGTTTTTTTGGCTGAGTGGGGCCTTGGGAGCATGAAGGGATGCTAAGAATAAGACAGCTGAACTGCCAATTTTAGCATGCAGTTTCTTACTTCAGACTGCTTCCATATGAGTAGCCATGATTAACCAGGTGGGTTTTCTGAATTGGTTTACCACCTTGGTGCAGCTCAGTTTTAGGAGCGCCTGTAAAACAAAGATTTCTGCTGCTGTAGTACAGGTAAAATATGATCTCCATTGCCTTCATTTTCTTGGCTTTCTAGTTTGGGAAGTGATGCCCTAAGGAAGGGACAGTGTAGCTTTGCAATTCTGGAGAGCTGCTAGGAACTTTCAAAGGAGGAAATAGAAGAACGAGAAGTGCCTTTACCGAAAGACTGTGACGTTACTCACATTCAGTTGTGAACCAGAAACTCCTTGCCAACAGCAGCAACACTACTCCTGTTTCCATCAGAAGTGGAAGGGAGCGTCATGAAATGAGGCTAACAAGCAGAAACACAATTCCATCGTATTCAAATGTCAAGACTGTACCGGCCCTTCTCTGCCCTCTCAGTGCAGAGAAGCTGGTACCACTGCCATGTCATGTCTGCTCCATCTCCGCTCTCTGGAGATATGTTACCTGTCCCTTGGTCTGATTTCTCTGAGTTCTCTCGACTCAGGGAATTCTCTTTTCTTAGTCAAACGTTGTGCCATTGCAAGAGTGGAGCATTTTGTACTGAAAACATTTTGATTCTAGGCCACGAATTGGGGAAAGAGGAAGGCCGAGCTGAAAGCTGCGAATAGGAATTTTATTGCAGTTTTGGTAGAAGGTAGTAGAAAGGGGTGGGGTGGGCTCTCCTGGCCTTTGTAGAGAATTTTTTCTGATCATGCTAATAAACAGAACTGGAATGTAAATGCAAAGAACATAAGGGGTTTTATCCAGGGTAGTTTTTATTCACAACCTAGTGCTAATTCTATGCTATAAGCCAAATCTGTTTGTCATCATATTTTGCCTTCACGTTGACGGTAGCCAAATCCTCTCAATTCTGCATTATTTAGCTGAATAATGTTATTACAAATGCAGGACCTCACATATTGCTGTATCGGCCTAGAACATCTAGGATATTTCCCTCTGACAGTAGAATGTCAGATTTCCCTGGGTAGTGCATTGATGCATAGAGCAATGTTGGCAGGAGTTTCATTCTCTCTAATGGTTATCTGTTCTTAGAAAGCAGCAAGCGTAAACCACTGGCAGTTTGAGAAGTGGATGAAAGGTACCTGCCATCTTTTAAAAGGAAATTATATCATCCCTTGTACTGTTTTTTCTGCAGCCAAATATGGCAGGCTAGATTGTGCATAGGCCTATTGTTGAGCTCCTGACCAAGCTGTATTGGAGCCAGACAGTGCAATGAGTCTGCTTCCTACGACTGCTTCTTTTCTGCTGTGTCTGTATCCCCTGGAGACCCTTGAACTATGCGCCTCAAATGTACTATTCTGCCTATGTCTAATCTGCAGGACTAAGCTGAGCTGAACTTCAAGCTTTAGAGTTGCAGAAAGAAACCAACTGCATGATTTAATCAAATCAGTGTCAAAATGTTGCATGCACTTCCTCTGTAGTTTTAAAGAAATTTCAGTTACCAAGCCAAAACCAGCCCGGGAAACAACTGATATGATTTTATGACATTTACTTTTCATTTGTTGGTACCTTTCATAGACAAGATGGAGATTATAAATTGCCGTTGGCACTAGCGCTCATACTTTAGCTTTTTGTGAAGGCTGGTCTCAGTTATTTAACGTAACTTGTTGTTGTAAATTTATTCTAGCTAATCATGTCCGTGTTTGAGAACAGCATGAAAGAAAGAGGCATTACTGAAAATGAAGCCTTTGATTGGGAGAAGGCTGGTACAGATATCTTGCTGTCCACTAGCACCTCTACTCCACCACAGCAAAACACTAGGCAAACAGCAGCCATGTTTGGGTGAGTATTGCTGTCATGCTGGTCACGCTATGGACACACTCAGTAACAAGCTCAGTGACCAGCTAGTTTTTGAAAGGTTCAAAGGCCGTTATGGTCCTGATCAGCAAGATCTGCATGGCAGCCACAACTTGATTTGACTTTATGCATATTAACATATACCTAAGTAATGGAACCTGATTTCCTGACCCGTGCTGTCCTGACAGTGCATTTTCTACTGGGGATGAGTGTGGGGGTTATTTGTCTCGTGACAGCATCACATTAAGAGATGTCTGGAAGCCTTTGGTCAGGATTGATAAAGCCTGTATTTTTCTGTTTTGCATATTACATGGCTGGAGCTTCCCTGAGGGTGCCTGCTGCAATGCATTTGTTGCCTTGCTGTGGGGTGAGTTAGCGATCTTGAGCTCAGGAGAGTGTATGTGCTGGTCACACCTAGAATACATCCCAGACCTTCACAGTGTTTCATGTGCTGGTGCAAAGGTACACTAAGTTCAATGGTCAGAGATGGAAACAAGTCCAGTGAAAAACTGAGGAGGTTTAGCCCCGTGGTCGATTTTGGTGCTTTTGTCAAGGCTGACATTAAGGAATAAGAATAATCCTTCATAATATTACAGAAGATAAAAGCTATAAAACCTGTTAAGCCTCATTGCCTCATGCAAAGAGGGGAAGGTTCTTTTAAGCTAAGTGTTGTGTAATAGGCATTCCTGGGGAGTTCTTCTAAAGAAGTTTGCAGCCTGAGCGTTGAGGGTCCCAAGATTCTTTACTGATCCATCTCACTATCTTTGTGCCAGGATGTTATTGCGATACTCTCATGCTTCTGTTTAAGGTTATGCTACCCTGGATAACACTGGATTGCCTGTTTTGTTCAATGTGGAAATATGCTAAAAGCTGTTGAGGAATTTCTGTGGGACAGTGTAATAGAGCTGGTTCTTTAAATACTAACAATTTTACCTTTCTTCTCATGTCTTCTGTAGGGTGGTTAATGTCACCCCGGTACCTGGGGACTTGCTTCGTGAGAACACTGAGGATGTCCTGCAGGGTGAACATCTGAGTGATCAAGAGAATGCTCCTCCCATCCTGTCGGGCCGGCCAGCAGAAGGTCTTGGCCAGGTTCCAAACACTGCTTTCAATGAGGCTGAAGTTTGGGAAGAGACAGATGTGAATCGCAACAAACTCAGGATCAGCATCAGCAAAGTAAAGAACGTTTATTTACCTCCTGTGGCTGCCGGACTTAGGGCAGTGGATTCATACACTACTAAAAGTCACCTAGAAGCACTACTGTAGTATCCTGCATAGTGCAGACCGCAGAGCCTCTGCCTGTGGAAATGGAGAATGCCCAAAAATTTTTGCTAGAGTGAAAGGCATTGGGAATAATTTGGGTTTCTTATTACACAAATGATGTTTTGGACCCAATAATGCTAGAGTGAATCTTTCATACAGTCTTTATGTCATTATATAGGATCTTGATACTCTAAGCAATGGAATCCTCGATCTTGAGGAGCTGATATTATGTCAGAAATGTTCCAGTATTGGAGATTATAAACCAAAATCTTATTGTGTCCTAAACTCTCAGGCAAGTAAATTCAGCCTGAGATGTCTTCAGAGCCACATTTTTCTAGACTTTGCCTCATCAGCGCTCTGATCTTTCTCTTCCAGTGTTTTAACTTTCCTTTGTCAGGGTAGCACAGTCTATAAACTGCATCTCATTTCACCCTTGTGAAATTAGAAATCAGATCAGCTGGTGCATCTAGTGCCAGCAATTTAGTTTTGCCTTTGTGAAGACGGAGAAAAGTATCACTTAATCTTCTTGTATTTCTTTACTCTAAGATTATGTTAGACTTTTTAGCCTGTCATAATTTTCCTCATAATCCCTAAGCTTTTCCTCAGTCCTTTCTTGTAAATGTGATGTAATTTCAGAGGCACCCCAGTTGAATGATGATTCCAAATTAAATGTTAAAGTTTGAGAATCTCCCAGTCTGATTATTTGTTAGCTCAATTACATGTTGTAAGTAATTTAGTGTTTGTTGCATTGATCTCAATTCTGACTTCAAAATCAGAATGTCATGTAGCATGACATCAGATACCTTACAGAATCTCTCTGTTAGCAGAGAAATCTGTATAAAACTGACTTATCAGATTTGCCTCACAAACCCATCTAACGGACCTTTGTGGACTAGCATTAATCATATGCTAAATCTACCAGCCTTCTGGGCCTGACCAGAATTCACATCAGTCTATAATGGCACAAAATTAGCCCTTCTTTCAGTCCTACGGATCTCTCCATCATCTTTATTCTTATTAGAAAAGATTACTAGTGGACAAGAGGCCATCTCAACTTATCCTGCGCAAATACTGTGGATCAGCCTGTTACCTGTATGGAACTAATACATTTCCAGAAGGATTCTCCCAATATTGAGAACTATAAACCAAATTCAATAACTTCTTCGCATCTCTTTGTGCACTAAGTATATGCAGTCCCAGAAGTTCTCATTTGAAGGCATATGAAATAAGAAAATTCTACTAGAGTGGGGCAGTTTCATTTCCACAGCATACAAAGAAAAAAGAGAATTAAACAAAAAATCCGGGTAACTCATATCTGGTTTTCTGTTCCTGAGAACCACTAGGTACCTTAATGCTTTTCAGTCAGGTTGAGACGTGTGCAAGGGAGTCCTAATGTCCTTTCCGCATGCTAGTTGTACATCATGTCTAGGTACTCGGCACTGTCTCTCCCAAGCGCTGTTGTAACAGTAGCTAGAGGCAGGAGAGGTTTCTACAAGAACCGCAGTGTGGACAGGTGACTTTTCTGCCAGGGGGTATGCTTTTTTTTGACAGTTTTCTGCCAAAGGAATTTACAGCCAGCAGTCTGCATGGCAATGAGCACTCCAGTTCTGACAAGAGCGAGTAGAGCATCATGCTCTCCAAAGCAAAGGAAGCCTGTCCTTTCTCTCTGCTAAGGTTGTTATCTCTAGTCTGACTGTTTCCTGAGAAGGAACCAGTTTTCATTGAAGTCACAATCACCACAAGGAGAAAAAGGGGTGCTGCAGGTTTGATCTGCAAGGACAGAGCTTCACCACTGCTTGTAATCTCAGGTATCCCTTGTGTCTTTTGGAAGACGCAGGCAGCTGGTGTGTAATACACCCTTCTGCGCTCGTGCTCTTCACGGATTTGCCATCCTTAGCCTTTCAGTCTCCTAGCACTAGCAGGAACTGATTCTCCCTGTCTTGCTCGGTGTATTTAGGTGAACAGATCTTGCCACGCTTTTCTCCCCAGTACATCTCTAAGGGAATTATTTTTCTCTGTTCACACAGTTTAGACCTCCTTCTGGCCCACTTCTCCCATTGCTGTGCTAAGGGCAGTTTCCTTGCTTACTGTCACTGACCTTTCTGAATCCTCCTTCCGGTTCACCTTTTTCTGCTGGATCAAGGTTCTCAATCTGTGTTTTTTTTGTAAGCCTCTTCCTTCTCTCCCGTGCCCTGCCCTCCCCCAGTTCTCTGCTCTTACAAGTTGCCTGTTGCCCTACAGGTACAACATTAGCATTCTGCTTCTCTCCCAAACCCATTTTTCCTCTCTTTATCACCACCCTTCTTGCATATTTTGGCCTGCATGGATTACACGCTAAATCGCTGCCATCTGTTCTGCTGTTGCAGTAACGCCTGAAAGATCTCTTCCACTCCCCCTAGCTGCAAAGGCCGCTTAGTTATGCAGTCCAAACCCAGCCTGAATGGTTTAGACGTGCTAAATTATGGACACTATCTTGCTGTATGTACAGTACTGACACAAAGGCAATGCTGTTGATCAGCAATGTTTTACTGGAAAGCCTACTTACATTCAGAGCCTCTGGGCATTAGCAGAGATCAGCTGAATGTAGGGCAAGCTGCAGCGACGGATAAATGCTCTCCGTACTAGGAACCTGCACTGGCACCTTGCTGTACACCTCTGCATGGAGGCAACACGTAGTAGCTGAAGTTTCATGGCTGGCAGCTCAAAAGAGTTGAGCACAAGCCCTAGACTACTACTGGACATTGGACCATTCTACCTTGGTGCTTTTGCCTAAGCAAGGTCTCCTCTCTCAGGAGGAAGTATCACTGTGGGAAGCAGAGGAAGGCTGTGCTGCAGTCGCCTACTTCTCCTCCTTTGGCTGCTGCCAAATTAAAAAATCAAATTCACCCAGGTCATATGAAAATAGAAAACACATAGAGAATGAACTCTCACTGTCCAGGATTGGGTTCAGGTCCATGCTTCTCTAAATTGCTGACCCTGGGTCTGTGGAAAGCTTACAGGTGTTCCAGGTTGTGGCTGAGTACATGTCCTGGAGGCTTTTGCTTAAAGGACCAAGATTTTTTTAAAAGCCCTAGTAATTAAGAGTTGGCTTAGTTATCTTATGTTCATCAGAAGTAAAAGTATGTACATTGCAACATAAAGCATGCACCTTGCATAGACAAATATAGATAAGGGATTTTTCATGCAGATTGGCTCTGGCTCTTAGCAGATCTTGGATAAGCAGTTGTGTGCGTGAGGGTGTGTGTGTATGAGGTTAGTCCATGATAACTCTTTCAGATCAACTATTCAGCATAACTGGAATGCAAAGATCACCTGGCAGAGGTGCTTAAAGATTCGAATTGATTTGAAATCCATACATTGCTTTAATACCAAGTAATTACCAGGGCATATGGGCCCTTCCGTTTCTCCACTCACTGCTTGTGTAGATTGTGGAAATGCAGCTACGGCTCTATCCTGGAAGAAAGCACAGAGCAATGGTGAAGGATGGGAAATAAATGCCTGTGATCAGATTTTGAGATTCTCTGTGTTTATCCCCTACAGACTCAGTGCATGGTAGAAGAGGAGCAGAGAAATGGTGTCTGCCCCAGCTCCCCTGTCCGAGTGCCTCCAGAGTCCCCTACTGCACAAGTGCGCTCCCTAAGATACCGCCGTGTGAACAGCCCTGAGTCAGAACGCCTCTCCACTGCTGATGGCAAAGCAGATCTACAAGAAAGAAGGTTTGCTCACCCTCCGTAGCCTCCTTTTTTCTGATACTGCTTTGAATAGTGTCTTGAGGACTGACAGTTGAGACCAAGCCCGTCATTAAATCAGTGGGCACTGAAAGTCTATTCATGAGTCAGTACTCATGGGCTTGGCCTATGACCTTTGTGATGAGGCACTCATCTCACAGAGCAGCTAGATGTCTGATAATAAGGAGAGAGTTAGTTGGAAGGATTCCCATCCTGTCCCTGAATGGGAAGGACTCCATGGATGGAGGAGGGGACATTTGTCAAGGGGAAGACAAAGAGATGGATCAGAGGTAGTTTAAGTAGTCACAGAGCTTTTGGCTGGCCTTGTCAGTGACCAAAGTCATTTAGGTGGGAGAGAAGAATGTATCTTCTTAGGATGCATATTGGGATGCAGATATTCTGGGAGCTGGCTGGCAGACCCTGATATGGTGGGTTTCGTTATTTTATTATTTTTCATTAACATTCATTTTTCAGCGTAAAGTATTGCACTTGTTTGCATGCACAAAGTATACATTACATCTAAAAGGCAAACCCTGATTTTGAGGGTTATAGGAATATCTTGTCTCAAATTCACAGCAAGGACACAAACAAGAAACCAAAAAGAGAAATGAAAAGAAAGCTGTTTAAAGTTGTGTGTGCCGGGAAATGCAGGTGTTACAAGACACAGGGCAACTGGTCTCCTGGTCACCCCCTTCACAGCCTTTTTTCCTCTCTCTTCCTCTTCCCAATGAAAATAAGGGCATGGACTGCAATTGTAGTATTTAGTGGTGAAACGGCCTCTCTAAATGAGGTAGAGAAGATACAAGCCTTCTTCTGAGAGAAGATGTGACAAAGAGGGACAGTCGCAAGGAAACACTATTTGGAAATGAAGGAGGATCAAAAAGAGAGATGGATGAGCCCCTCTATTAATAAATTAGGGAATAAATAACACATCTGGGGTCTGGCTACGATCATCTTTCCTTTTTCTTGTTGAGACAGCAGCAGCTGTCTTTTTCTGGGCAGCAGGCATTCCTACTTTGCCCAGCAAGCTGCCAGTCTCTGTGACAGACAGGACTCAAGAGAGAAGCAGAGCAAGCCGCAGGTGCAGGCAAAATGAGGAGCACGGATCATAACACTGTGGAGCGCAGAGATAGAAGTGCCACTGGCTTTTCCAGCTGAGAGGCTATCCTGGCCATTATGGCTTAGAGAGCTGTCAGGGAGTGTTTGAAAAGTATTTCTGCATGGCTCTGGAAGTTGTTGCTATTTAGACTGTGCGCTGTGTGTCACTGAACGTTACGCTACCTTGATGCCCTTTGTCAGAGGTTATTTGCGGTATTTCCTTCCTGCTCCCTAAATTCTCCCGGGATCACATACGCCTGTTGAGCATTTCGATGAAATTCCTGCT